ACTTAATAGTACAGTAATTATACAGTAGTACAGTTACAACGATTCTACTGTTTGTCTACGACCCTGATATCTTCTAATGCTATTAAATATATATTGGTAATATAATAAGAACTTCGTCAGAAACATTGACACAATACCATAATCTCCTGATTATGACTTTGATCTGCCGCTCCCACGGCGGGAGGTGCATGTCTGAACGACCAATGTGAGTAGAAAACTTAGGGACCGGTCATTAACTACAGGGGACGAGGGGGAAGGGGGCTGGTGGGAAAGTAGGAGGGTCAGGTATTTTTGTGCATGAAAAAGGGGGGGGGGGCAAAAATTTTTTTGCAATATTAATACCTGCCCCATATGACCCTGTTGTACCATAAAACCTACAGATAAAAAGATAAAAATAGAGAGCAGTAGAACTGTAGTAAACTCCAACACAACACCATGTATTAAACTGATTTCAACATAAACATGTACATTGGAACAGCCGATGACCCAATAAATGGTAAAGAATATATAAATTACAATACATGTACATAGGGCATAGTTGCCAACTCTCACGGATCCACCATGAACATCACAGATTTTACTAAAACCTCACAGTGAGCTCACAACTTGTTAATATGTCTCACGGATTCTCACGGATTACGAAAATAACCCAACTGGTTCTTAAATATGTTGGCTTAATGTTGCACATTTTAACTATTAAGAGTGACTTCATTTGCGTCAAATTACATAAAACCTTTTTCTTTAGAAACAATTCACGTCATTCAGCCAAAAATAGATAATCAAAACATCACTTCATGAAACCTCGTACTCGTGGGTATTCAACAATATGGTTTTGTATATCTAAAGAAAAGCTACCAAAAGTTGTATGTATAAGGTATTTTTCGAAGACTCTGAAAATGCCATTTCCAACGATCTAGAGACTCCATATTTTCACATTTTTCCGCTCAGCGCCAACTATGGTGGTGCCTCGTGGGTGCTTCAAAGCAAAATCTCACGGATGTTTTATTCCCAATGTTGGCAACTATGATAGGGTAGTATGATTAAATGTGGCTTTATAAGAACTTTAAATTACGAATGTGCCTTTTGTTATTTGCATGTGTGTGGGGGGGGGAGGGGGGGTGGTCAAGTATAATTGTGTTATTCTCAAGGGGGGGGGCAACAAAATTTTAGCATCTAATTTTTCATTTCCACCAGCCCCCCTGTAATTAACGACAGGTCCCTTACATAAGTGTCTGTGTGCGATGTTTAGGTCATGAAATAGTGCTACAGGTAATATGGTTTAATGCACTTTGCAGAAACTCCCCTGATTTTGATCTCGCTCAGTATGATAATCAGAATCCTGTTTAGCCGAAGGGTTTTGCTATTTTTATAAAAATATGTGTACTGACCCAAGGTTCGCTCGATTAGACAAATTTGGGTAACGTTTGTTTATACCCAATTCACAACTTTATATATAAACACACATGCTTAGTTACTATTGTTCTAGATTACAAAAGCATAAAATAGAACAAAGGTAACAAACATCATGTTCGGCAACCGGTCCGCAATGAAACATTTATTGACCGGTCAATAATAAAATGGTTGCAATACGCATGTGTGTCAATCGTGAAGTTCCAAGGTTCATTTTTTAAACTTTTTATTTACGGCCGCTCCATTTATCCAGTTTTGGTTGCAAATTAAGTTCACTCCAATAACAGGGCCGTAGGAAGCTCTTTTTGTTGGCCGAAGGCCCGAGGCTGAAATTTTTAAATTTAGATTCTCTGAAATGCCATTTCCTGGACTTTGGGGAAACTAGACTTTGGGGACTAGATTGTAAATTTTGACATATTAAAACAGCGTTTTAAAAAATATCTGCTATCAAAAATAACTGGCAAGCTAGTGTTGCAGTTGTACTTCTGAGAATGTAGATTTCAAAGTCAAAATATTAGAACTTTCCCACTTCCGCTTTTGTGGTTTGTTGTCTCTTACCGACTTTCTGTTATTGTAGCGGTTAACAAATTATAGGCAAATACGACGACATAAGTTAAATTTTGAAACCTTTATGTGTTCATATGCAGTGAATCAAACGAAAAATGCGTCCTTTGTTACAATTATTCAAATTATTACAAAAATCAAAGAACACTAAATTATATCGCTATATTTCTCCATAATTCGGCAACAGCTACAATATTAAATACAAAACAAAATAGTAAATGACAACAGACTACAAAAGCGGAAGTGGGAATGTTGTAATATTTTGACTGCAATTATTTACAAAAATATGTTGCATCCATGCAGCAAGAATTAATGTCCGACCTTTCCGGCAAAATTTCCATTTACAGGGACAGAAAAAGATTGCGAGTCGATTTGAATAGAAAAGTTAAAGCACCGAACACTTTTTTATATACAGCCAGAGATACTGACAGCTTTGAAATTTGCTACAACCACAGAAAGTACCGCCCGTTTATACTTTAAAAAGATATTTAACAGTTGTGAAATTATTCATGCGAATAAACCAAGAATGGTTAAGGTTGTATTTTGAATGTTTCTATGTTGTGAATTAGAACCTGGATAATAAACCAGCTTATTTAACTTTTTAATTATTACTAGTGTCGCTGATCAGCGAACACGCGAATGTAAACAAATAGCTAAAAATAGGCCCAATTTGGAGATTTATAACTTTTCAGAAAATTACTTGCAGACGAGTTTTATTCCTGATTACTTAACTTTAGTAGGTATACTTTCAAATTACATGCCTCTTGAACTTCAGACAGGTGCCACTTTTGAGCTATTTTAAGTAAACTGATGAGCAATTTTCAGCCTCTGGTCGCTATCTTGAAAACATAGTTTCGTAAAACTATAAAAAAATCGTATTAAGCAAATAAAGTTGTTCAATCTCCATGAAAACGAGAGTATTAGTGTTAATCTTGCATGTGAACAGTAACTGCAGGGGATAAACGCACCACAACGTTTTTAAAAAATCGATGAATTCTTGTAAAATTCCCCTTCATTTCCGGTCTGAAAATACTCTCGCAAGGTCAAATTTCAACATGGGCTATAACTCCTATAAAACAGAAAGTTGAAACGTTCTGAAACAAGCTCGATTAATATTGACCAAAGTCTAGTTCATACGCAAAATATGAGCTAAATCTATTTTTCCTTCCCCAAACCAGTGGGTGGATTTTACTGAGAGGCCCTCTTAAGGTGGCAAAGCCACAAAGAAATGACTGTAGAGCCCTGACTAAAGTTTACAAGTCTTCCTAATCATATTTACTTTTTACTGTTGTTCCAATAGCTGTTATCGTAATTGAATGTACCCGGACATTTTGCCGAAAGACACTTTGCCGAAAGACACTTTGCCAAAAGACACTTTGCCGAACGGACATTCTGCCGACGGTCATTTTGCCGACCGGACTTTTGCCAACCGGACGTTTTGCCGAACGGACAGTTTGCCGAAAGGACAACTTGCTGAAAATAAAGATGTTATTTCGTCAAAATGTTTGGGACTGTGACTCATTTCTCAACTGTGTAATTCTCAACCATTGCGTAAAATAACCATTATATGGTCATTAGCAGTGCATAATGGTCATATCAGCTGAGCATGATGGTTGTCAGCAGTGCATAACCATATTGACTATTGGTAGTTGTGCAGCGGATGACTCATTTGCTAGGAACGTGTCTTGATGTCAGATCGTAAACAAACAAGCGTATATAAAAATGACGTGAGCGAATTTCACTTCGAGAATCATGGAATACATTCACTGCAGTTCTCGGGGAAATCACATTCATGAATGACGTTGAATGATGTTATTCTTTATATCGCGAATTTTTGGTAAACTTGTCAAAAACGTGAGAATATAAAACGAAACTATACCTCACTATCAAAGTTTCTGTCATCAAAATCGACAATTAATGACTTTAATCACAGAAACTTTGACTGTGTAAGCGACCCTTTAAAGTTCAGAAGATGTCTCTATTTTCGGCAAAATGTCTGTTCATCAAAATGTCCGTTTGTCAAAATGTCCATTCGGCAAAATGTCCGTTCGGCAAAATGTCTTTCGGCAAAGTGTCCGGCCACCGTAATTGAATATGCCGCTGTGGCGAACTGGCGGTATCTCAGTGGGAGTATGCACGACAACGAGGCTAAAGGGTCGAGCAGACTCGAACTAAATTACAAAGTAAAATATGGCATCAACTAACAATATAAACAGAAATTCTTGCCCAAAGCAGTATTTTTTTGTGCAGAAGACAAGGTTCAATTACTTAATGGCTCTTGCCCTCGACATATTACTAAAGCAAGGCTGAAAGAATGGCTTTCCTATCGCAAAGGTACAAGTAAAGATGGAAGTGCCAAATCTGATGCAACGAAAGCTTAGCTAGTAATAAGGTGTTTTAATGTATTTTATTTATAGTAACTTTTTAAAGCAAATTATACCTACTTCGTTTTGTACAGGGTTGTCAGCTATATAAAAAATGGTTAGGACGTCCATTTTGCACCGAAGTGGCAGCATCTAATAGGAAGTAAACAAACCGAATCTACTGATGCAGCAGGCACTGCATGTGAGTTTCCCAACGCTGGACAATGTCAATGGATCCCATTACACAATGCAAAGGACAATGTACCCAGCTTCAATATGCAAAATATGGTTTCATACTTTATTGAAAGAAAGGCAAAAGACAACAAAGCTAACAAGGACTACAAAAATGTAAGCAATAAAACGTTTGGCCTATTTAGATACGGACACATCCAAAACATTGAGCTGGCAAGTGATAATGACAAAGTTCATTTTAAATGCAATTGCCTCCCTGAAATGAAGAAGGACTCTATATAAACTGAAACTTTTGATGCTTAAAAGTGTTGTTCATGAGGGAGAAATAGTATTTTCTAGCTGTGTTTGCTCAGCTGGGAAAGGTCCTCATGGATCATGTAAACATATTGCAGCTTTGTGTTATGCTCTTGAAGAATTTACTAGACTAAAGTGTATGCCAGAATTTGAAACATGCACTTCAAGACTTCAAACATGGAACCAACAAAAAGAAAACTTGACTCAGAAACAGTTTATGATATTGATTTCTCCAGAAAGATTTATAGGAAACAAAAGAAAAAAATACCAAATTGTGGATTTGTTTGTTTACTATCAGATGAAAAGCTTGACCAAAAAGAAAGTACCGGTACTATCATTTCCCCCATTAAGGAGCATCCAGTGTCTTTGACTGAAATCTTTAATAGAGCAGAAAGAGTCAAGCAGAATCTTATTGTTGATGAGCAAGAGAGAACGAATATTACAAATGCAATGAAAAAGCAAAGTAAATCTAAAGAATGGTACTTACATAGACATGTTCGCATTACTGCTTCTAAATGTAAACAGGCCCTACTTGGAATTCAAGATGGCCACTATATATTTGCATGTTTTCTGAAACAAGTGAGTAAACAAGTAGAACGATCATCGATGTTAACAGAGTATGGAAAATTCCCATCAATCTTATTGTTTATGACATTAATTTTCTGTCATCTGCTACTATCGATGACAAAACAAAGCGAGAAAATAATCGATGAAGTGATCAAACTGGTCAGTGGTTAATCAAGTCAAAGTACACATCACTCAAGATGTCAACAGCAGAACCACCTGCTAAGAGTAAGCCAACCGATTGTAATTTATGCGTAAAATGTCAATAACATATAATAAAAAAGGAAAAACTGACGAAACCAATGGTTGTGTCTACATATGAAACATTTCTACGATATGTTAATGAGAGATTTGAAACTGGAAATCCTGATTATATCGGAGTGTCACAAAGATTGAAGCTCACCAAATGAGCTTCTAGAATTAGAGGCCCAATGGCATCACAATTGCTATTGTGAAACAACAGATAAAAACAAGCTTGAAAGAGATAAGAAGAGATACCAAATGGATAGCAAAAATAACCTCAAGGGAAAAGGGCACCCTTCTTCAGGTTCTGTTTCTAGTAGATTGACCAGATCAGGTAAAGAGAGTTTTAATCAAGATGCCTGCTTTTTTTGTCAAGGAAGTGATCCTGAGACAGCTAGAGATGCAATCCATTCTTGCCGAAGTAAAAACAGTGCAAATTCCATCAAAGAAATTGTAGATAAAAGTGACAAAGCTAAATGGAAGGTCCAGTTAGCGGATATATTAGCCGAGGATGATTTCCTTGCCAGAGACATAGTATACTACAAAAGCTGCAAAACTAAATATTGGCGAAAACATTTTTGATCACTTAAATGAGATTGTAGATTCTGGGGAATACATTACCACAGTTGAAGTTGAAACATTATACAAAAGCATGATGCATGATCATGGTATAGACAAGCCAATAACACGTAGATCCTTGATTTCCAATATCTCACAGAACATGCCACACATTGTAATATCCCAATATAAAGGGAGTTTACCAGGTGTCCTGCGTTCTAAGGAAGCAGGTCGTGAGGCGGTAGATATAGCTCGGATGGAGAAAGACATCAAAGGCGATCTTGACCAAATATTCAAATCAGCCAAAGTAATCAGGTGGCCGGTTATTAACGCAAGGAAAGAATTCCCATGGGCTTTTACGGGACACCTTGATGGTTCTGGTGAGAGTGGTGTACCTGTGGAACTGATGATGATGACCAGGTGGATCTTGCAATGATCTCAAGTGGCTACAGCCAATTCTAGAAATCTAGTTTTACGTAAATCATGTGCTATAATCTCGCAAATTATTATGCAAGAATTAATGACTAAATGACAAGTTATGCATGAAGCAAAGTCAGAATCCGAATTATCGATGTTTCGTCGACAATACAAAAAGCCCGTTTGCAATTGGCCTATCGCTCTGGATGTACCACAAGCTTCGGAGCCAGAAAGCAATAAATTTATTTAGTAATGTTCTAATGCAATGCAGGAGAACATCAAAATAAATGGTGTTTTCTTGCCACTGGGTACAGTAACAGGTCGAGAAATACGGGCTGCCGCAGATAATGTTGACAAGCAAGTAGACACTTGTGATGGAAAGAATAGCTTCCATGCAATGGAATCTAGTGTCTTCCAGCCAAATTGTAATGGTAAGAGTGCAGTGGAACAACTTGACCTTTAGAAGGTTTCTGCTGGCACACTTAGCGATATTCCCAACACCTGCATCAAGATCGATGAATGCAACATAGCAGGCAGTCCTAAACCATGCACTAGCCCTTGTTACAGTTCTTACAAAGTGAGATTTCATGCTGACCACTTCGACAACACGCTGGTCAATGACATTGAATGGATAATATCAAGATATTTTAATCGATCATCCCAATCCAGTGGACACCCAAGTTGCTGATCAACGAGTTCCAGTGTGGTCAGCATACAACTCCCTTGTAAACACACCAGAATCTGGACAGGAATCATCTATCATCATTGACAAAGCATATGCTCTGCCAATCATTAATACCCCGGCTCATGAATGGTCCACCTTAGTTACCACGCTAAATCAACTGTGTATGGTCAACCGATTAGTATCAAAGAATGATGGAAAGCTGATAGGGCATTTGACATGGATCTCCACAAGCAAGTGTTGAAGTTGGAGTATCTTGATTCCCAATACAAAGATAAGTGGGTAGTGTGTCCAGGAGCTTTCCATACGGCAGTTTGCGCTCTAAGGTGCCTTGGAGAAACAATCGAAGGCAGCGGTATCGACGAGGCATGGGTAGAAGCAGAAGTGTACAGTTCTGTCACTGTGGACCAGGTTATCAATGGGAATCACTACAGAAGGGCATTGGAGGCTCACAAAGTCACACTCCAAGTGCTGTTCAACCTTTGGATTAAAGCATTCTTTTCAGAGTGACCTGCTGTACGAAGAAGCCTGTATTGAGCAAGTTTCCAGAGCATATGTGTGTTGAAGCAGGGCGTTTGTGAAGCTCACTTTTCACTGATTGCCACACTCGAATCTATTAACATTGACAAGCAACTAGCTGAGTTTGATGCCAGACATGAGGCACATCCCATGTTTCAATGGGCATGGATGTACATGCGCCAAGTCATTGTTTTGCTTCAATTCCAACATGCTATGCACCAAGGAGATTGGTTTCTGCATCTGTCTTCTCCCGAAAAACTGAGACAATGGTTGGGATTCCAAAGCAAAATGACACTGAACATCACCACCTGAATCACACTACAGTGGTATGCCAAGAACAGGATATCGCAAATCTGTCTTGTGTGCTTTCACCATGTAACATTTTCACTTCAGAAGAAACAAACTTGTTCAAACACATGACAAAAGAGATTATTCCAAAACCTATTAAGGAAAGCATTTTAAGCATGGAAGCTCGTGGGACATTTGTGATGAAGAAATTTGTTGAAGAAAGAATAAGCAGAGAAACCAATCTATGGGACAAAATGACAAAGTCCAAGTTTCTATCATGGAATTCCTCAGGCAAAGAGATTAAACTTCAAGCCAAATCAGAAGTCACCACTCTTCGCGCAACCACAGGTCTTATGTCCATACTGCTCATCATTGCACAATCAGCTTGTGAGGTGACATGGAAGAAGTCATTGGAACCTACAAGTTTGCGACTACAAACCACACGTTGATGAAGCTTGATGGATCTGTTCACCCAACCTTAAATAAGAGTAGCATTATTGCAGTTCTGGAGGATCTCCCAGCACAAGCTTGAACAGCCAAACTGAATCTCCTTCACGAGAGAACAACCAGAACACAGATGCTGCCCTGAAGAAATATAGGAAAACTCGAACTATCGTAAGCGAACGCTGCGTGAAATAAATCAAACTATCAAATAGCTAGTTCGAACGAAACATCGTGACTACTTACTTAAGATTAAGGAGTCTTTCCGCAGCAACCCCAAACTGTTCTGGAGCTATCATAAAGCTGTTTTTCATCACCGGTCAACTCAAAACACTGTCATTTCACATAACGGCATTGTGGCAAAAACATCTACTGAGAAAGCCGGACTTTTTAATTCCTACTTCTCATCAGTTTTCCAACCTTCAACGACTAATCAAACTACTAATTCCCGCAATTCTCAACTACGAACCAATTCACAACTAAGTGAGATCACGCTCGATGTCGAAGAAGTTGTAAACAGTCTGTTGAATCTGAATGTCTCAAAAGCTAGTGGCCCTGATAGAATTTCTACCTGCCTTCTGAAAGAATGTAGTCATCAAATCGCTCCAAGCCTTTGCACTCTTTACAACCATTCACTAAGATCTGGACATATTCCTTCTGAGTGGAAATCAGCAGATGTTACTCCAGTGCACAAGAAGAATTCCAAAGAAGCAGCTGTGAACTACATACCAATCTCGCTATTGCCCATCATTAGTAAGACCTTAGAACGGTGCATTTACTGGAGATTTTATGACCATGTTGTGAACCTTATCAGTCCATCTCAACATGGTTTTCTGAGAAATCACTTGTGTGTCACCCAATTCCTGTCAGCTTTCCACTCTATCGGGCAAGATCTAGATAAGAATACTCAGACTGATGTCTTGTATCTGGACTTCGTTGACCATAATATCTTACTGGATAAGCTGTGTTGGTACGGCATGACAGGATCTGTTCTTGATTGGTTCGCTGACTATTTAAACGGTAGGACTCAGAGAGTTGTTGTGGATGGAGTAGCTTCTGCATGGTCATCACTTCAGTCACTTCAGGTGTCAGTCACTTCAGGTGTGCCTCAGGGAAGCATTCTTGGAGCAGTTTTGTTCGTTATATTCATTAACGATCTCCCCGACATCCTACATAACGGAACTGAAATTGCCCTGTTCGTGGACGATACGAAAATTCACAGACATATTATCTCAACTCGCGACTGTGAAAGCTTACAACATTCATTGGTCAAGTTAGATATGTGGAGTATGGAAAACAATCTTGTCTTCAATGCCTCTAAGTGTAAAGTCCTCACCGTCACACGAAAGAAAACACCTATCATCTACGAATACACCCTTGGGACCGAAAAGCTAACTCGGGTTGACCATGAAAAGGACCTTGATATTGCAACTACTACAAAACTCTCATGGAAACTACACATAAACACCATTGTTGCGAAGGCCAACAAAATGTTCGGTATACTTAAAAGAACTTGTACTAGTATTACAGACATGAACACCCAGCAAACTTTGTATCTATCACTTGTGAAGTCCCAGTTGTTGTATGCTTCGGAGGTGTGGTCACCAGTTAACAAAGTTCAGCTATCAAGACAAGTAGAGAAAGTCCAACGGAGGGCAACCAAGTGGATACTAATGAACAGAGAGATGCCTTACAAAGAACGGCTGTCATCGTTAAACCTGCTACCATTAAGTTACGATAGAGAAATGAAGGACTTAACATTCTTTTATAAAGCTTTATTTGGTTTTATAAACGTGAACTTGAGTAACTATGTGTCATTTGTCAGCAATGGTCGTACTCAATTGAGTATTTCCTCTGAGTATATCCTTCAAAACCCGCTGTGTAAAACTACCACTTTTCAATCCTCCTACTACAACCGTATAGTCAATATCTGGAACACTGTATCTCAAGAAGTATCTCTTGACAGTTTCTCTAGACCTAGTTCTTTTAAATGTTATCTCAAGCACAAATATTCAATCTTAGTGAACTCTATTTACGACGGACGTGTCTTGCACGTGGTCTTTGACTCGGGACTGTCCTTGCCACAGGTCCTAACTGTTTATTAACATTATGTAATAATAAACGTTTAACTTAATAATACCATTATATAATATATGATATAAACATAACACAGCATAATATAGTTTGTAAACCTTGAGTTGGTGCATTTACGATTTGTACCAGTTGTTTCCCGCGGTTCGTTCATTAAATAGGAATACAATGCATTGTGGGAACCAACTGGGGGATTTACTAACCCTTGATTTTTATGAGGCATATGCACCTCCGAGGTTTACTAGAACAGTATAGATTTTCAATTAGAACAGTAGTAAATTTTTACTAAGTGTGGGCAGGTGCCTTGCATGGTTCTTCGAGTCCCATTTGTGCCTCGCCCATTTAGGGTCTCTGAATAATTCACTTTATAATTAGACTTTGTACATATACTGTAGTGGACCCTAATAAAGACAATAATAATAACAACTATGTCGTCAAGGTTTCACTTAAAGCAGCGACACGAAATCGATGCAGGGGAAGTAAGGCACCTGTAAAAGGATATGTCGTGGAAGATGCTACTAAAATAAAAAATGTTAAATCATTTCTTGGAAGTACTACTACGAAAGCAAATCTTACACTCTTTTTAGCGAGGAAGTTAATAGATCACGCTAAAGTACACGTCATTACAGCAACACATCAGGCGGTTATGTCAAACAGAGCTGGCAATATCACTCCTGGTGTTAGCACTCGAGAAGAAGCAGATACGTTGATGATCTTACATGCAGTGGAAGCAGCAAAAGCGGGGTCCATTGTTCATATATACAGTCAAGACACAGATGTATTGCTTCTTGCTTTGAGACGTGTTCCTCTTCTTGGTGAACAAGCAGTACTGTTGATGGGCACAGGTGATCGACACTGTCTAGTGTTATTGAAGCCGATTTATGATTCACTTGGAGAACAGAAAGCGAAGGTGTTATGCAAATGCCATGCCTTAACTGGCTGCGATACGACAGGCTATATTCGGGGAAAGTCAAAGAAAGCATGTTTGGAAGCATTTTTGAAGGAAAGACCCAGTATTGTTTCAGCCATTTCCTCTCTTGGAATTGAAAGTGGGTTTAGTGGGCCATCTGAAGACATAATCGAAGGCTGCATATCATTTCTATGTGGTCTTTTTCATAAGAAAGGTATTGAAGCCACAAGCCCACACAGTCTTCGATGGACCTTGTTCAAGCAACAGAGAATTGACAAAGGTATTGAGCTACTACCACCAACCTATGGAGCATGGAAAGAGCAGATTATGCGAGCGCATTGTCAGTGTGTGGTATGGGAACAAGATCTTATTGCCTGTCCAACGACAATAAACCCACTTATGTTTGGCTGGATAAAAGAAGATGACTTGTTCCCCAGTTATCCAAGATTCCTCCAGCCCCAACAGCCGTTGTCGAATTGGTGAGATGTGCCTGTGGTGCCAGTAATCCGAGTGCAGTAAATAAGTGCACTTCCGAGAGATACAAGGTGGGAGATGGGAAGGTACAGATAAAGCTCTCTGAAATCCTCAGTTCTGGCTCTCAATAAAATTACAAGGACGTTAATGCTAAGTCTTTTGGCTATGCCTTTTGCATGTGTATACCCTTACGAAAAAATCCTATAGGATCCTATAGGAATTCCTATAGGAAACCCCATTTCCTATAGGAATTCCTATAGGATCCTATAGGAATAGAATTCCTATAGGAATTCCAATAGGATCCTATAGGAATAGAATTCGTATAGGAATTCCTATAGGATCCTATAGGAATAGAATTCGTATAGGAATTCCTCCTATAGGATCCTATAGGAATAGAATTCCTATAGGAATTCCTATAGGAATAAGATTCCTATAAGAATTTCCTATAGGAATTCCTATAAGAATTTCCTATAGGAATTTCCTATAGGAATTCCTATAGGAATTTCCTATAGGAATTCCTAGGGAAATTTTCCATAAGAACTGGGACAAAATTCCTATATTAGGTTGCAAAATTCCTATATTCCGGTATTAGGTTAGTATTAGCAATTCCAGCTAAACACATTGTCACATAAATAAAATATATGATAGTACATAACATGACTGAAATAACAGCAAAATAACAATTATATTTTGTTTATTATATATAGGATCGATTCTGTACGATAAATTCCCACGAAACATTCCTAACAATTAATTTCCATAATGGAATATAATTTCTCGTTCAACTAATTTCCTTATTGCCGCGTTTTCTTAATTTGCGTACAAAATCTGAAGACTGAAATCTAAGAAGAAAACTAATTAAAAAAGTAAATTATGTCAAAACAAATTTTGTTTGCACGCGTCACTTTTGTATAATCAAACACGGGCAAATAATTTAACTAAACTAAATGCAACAGGAATTATATTAGAACCACAAATGGGTATAAAATATATTCACCACTTTAATACAGTAATTTACATT